TATGACCTCTATTTATAGAGAAAAAAGAGGGTTGAAGAATAAGAAAAGAATCCGAATTCGAATCGAAAAAAAACTCGACGGACAACAGTTTTTACTGATTTTGTTTTTGTCATATCTTTTGATCCAAAAATCTAAATAAGGCATATAATATGTCGTTGCAAAGCACTTGAAGTATAATTTCCAACCCAATTAGAACATATTAAAATATTTTGTATATAAAAAGATATGGACGAAATAGTAGGACAATGTCAGTTTTGGATAGAGTTTTGTATTCCATTCATATCTTTTTCGTTATACCTCGGATTTAATATTATAATATATCATTGGAAAGATATTTTCAACATCTATCCAACCATATAAAATTTTGATAAATATTATGAGGCACGAAATTAAAATCTGACTGTCTTTAATCACCTTTAAATTCGAATAGAATTAGGATTTAAGAAAAAGAAAAGTTTTTATAAAAGGAAAGTTTTTATTTAACTCAAATTCTTTAATCTTATCTTTTCAAAAAGGGTAATTAAGATCTTTTAGAAACTTAAAGAAAATTCTTTTTAATCCTAATTAGTTTAGGAATAGGATTAGACCTTTGGACCCTCCACATGATCATTGGGCCGTAGGTAAAAACCGGTTTGGGCCCAGTTTAGTATTTTGGCCATAACTTCCTCATTATTCATCGAAACTGGGCTTATAAAATATTGTTGGAAAGGTCTTTTCAAGCCCCATCAAACTACACCATTATTGGACCCATATCATGGACCAAACTAAACTAGAATGCATATTTTTCATAAATAGGGTAAGAAAAGAAATATTTTCAAAAACAGAAAGAAGAGATATGTTAATAAAAACATCCTCATCACTAGACTTTTCAAACTTTCACTTTTTTTGGTAATAAAATGATGTGAAAGGTATTCATCAATGGGTTTGTTTTTGGGCAGACACATTTGGGTGTCTACAGAAGCCCCCACTTTGACTGAGTTTGGAGAAACGCAAGTTTTGAAAACAAAAGTCGACGTATCAATAGGGACGGAGACTGATTCAGAACGTTCTGCGATCCTAAATCATTCTTTTAACGCCGATACCTGCAAACTAGCATTAGTTTAAAATAGATAAAAGAGTTAAGAAACGTGTATGTTTCACCTTCGAGCACACGTCTGTGGGAGTAACCGATTTGTTGTGTTTGTTGTTGTGACAACCTTCCACAAGCTAGGGAACGCCATCCTTCTGCTTTGACGATCTTTCTCAAGCTATGGGATACCGCCTGTAGACATCTACTTTTGGCAACCTATCCCGAAAGGAAGTGCGATGATGTTACAAAAATCCGTTCTTCATGTTATATCAAAGTTAAAGTGTTTATGGACTACGAAAAGCATTATGAAGTAAGTTAAAACCCATATTTGAGACCAATTTATCTTAGAGCCTTGTCCGATTATTAATTAGGCCTAAAACGTGTTCATACATGTTTAAACTTGATTAATAACGGACCCAAATGCGTCAAATGTAATGATTAGATCTAATGGAACCTACATTATTGAAAAAAGAGCTAAACAGATGAACCAAACATCAAATTACCATGAAAATCCTATAAATATGGATAGCCCTTTCAAAGATCTTTCCAACGGTATATTATAAGCCCAATTCCGAGCAAAAACAAAGAAGTTATAATCAAAACACTAAACCGAGCCCAAAATCGACACCCTTGCACTCCAACGGCCATAACTTTTTATGAATAACATATTTTAACCTAATTCAAACGGAATTGGAAAGTAGACATTCTGAGATTTCCAATGATATCTCGCACGCCTTAATCCAACTTTGCAATCAAAAGTTATGGAAGTTTTAAAAACGTGTTTTCGTATAAGGCAAACCGCAAACCAGCACAACTCAATCAGTTGCGCGTGCGACTCATTAAGATGCGTGTGACACCCAACGCGACTCAGAAAGTTGCGCGCGCAACCAGATGGCGAGGCTCTAAAACCCTAAACCTAGATCCCTGCGCCTATAAATAGGGGTCTTCGTTGAGCATTACGGGGACCGAAAAAATAAGAATTAAAACCCTAGTATTCTCAAAACCCTAATCTCTCAACTTCTCTTACTATCATACTACCTTTTTCTTCTCTCTTCCCAAATACTTTCCAACCCTAATTGAATCCATTGAAGTCCTTGGAGGTATGAAGAAGAAAGAAAGTCCATAAACACATTAAATGGAGATTTAACATAAAAGAAGAACAGTTAGTTTCCTGAGCACTTAGATAAATCACTTTTCCATTATTGTTTAAATAACTTCAATTGAATAAATAGTGTTGTTTGATCACTTTAAAAAAAGTTTAATTAATTAATTCACATAGTATTATTTTGTTAATCAAGACCAGAATTTGAATAATTAATTGTTGTTTTACCACTTAAGACAAGGCGAATATTGTTTATTTATTGTTCTTCCATGAATATTGATTAAATAAGAATAACGACTTTTGCAATGTAATTCCTACGTGATTAATTCTGGTAAATAAAATCAACTAGCTTAGTATTTAGATATCACGTTGCATATATTGTTTGGTAATGAAATTGTGAAAAAGGAAGAGCTAGTAGAGGTCGTACTAGGGCTAGAATAGTGATTCCTCCCTAAAAGGAACGTTATTTTATTACCCTCGCTCCCGAACTCATTTCTGGTTTATGTAGACCAATTTGGGCATGAATAAACTTATGATTCGTGCTAATTATTCCATGAACCTCACATGGAAGAAAGGCATGAACGAGGTTTATGAGTTTTTCCAAAACTCATTGGCGACTCCTACTTATTTCTTACAAAAAAGCGTGATGAGAGTATCATTTCTAATTCAAGATCTCCCAAACAGTCAGGAATTCAAATCCTAATACACCCTAACAAGTGTAAAGTCCTAGGATTTTAAGCGGCCATGGGAATCTAAGGAAGGACCCCTTTACGATGGGATCACCCTCCTAACAGTGGCGACTTCACTGGGACTTAGAGGTTACAAGATTAGTTCGTAGTTATAGTTCAAGATTTCCAACACTAGGTTGCCTATGAATTGTAACGAGAACTAACTTGGATAATCTCTAGGTAGAGAGCGAGACTCGAACGCAAAATATCTTCCTTTTTCACAAAAGTAAAATCAAACAAGCAACATTGCATCATGCATAATCATAGTACAGTTTAACCATTGGGGATTGGCTCATTGATTAGGGGTTGCCAACACAGGCTTCTATCCTGAAATCAATAACAATCATCCCACCCATATCGTCAACAAAATGTTGAGAGGGCAATGTCATGATTCAACACGTTGAGTGATTGATTTGTGCATCGTTTCTTAAGATATGGTACCCTTGGACACCCAAGCCTTGACCTTAGAATGTCATTGTATGCTTTGACGATTCCTTTTATGTGCTTATGTGACTACATGAATATGTGCTTCGTGTCTAATCTAACTAATTCCAACTTGTTACCTAGAGATGTAATAAAAAAAATTCGCAAACATTATGGTTCGACAAAAAAAAAAAAAAAAAAAAAAAAAAAAGTTGTCGTTCTTTTTGCGTTTTCGAAAAAAAAAAATTGCCGAACCTAGCAGGTGGCACGCGCAACTGTCAAGGTTGCGCGCGCCCTCCAAGCGCAAGTTTTGAAGTTGCGCGCGGCACCTTCGCGCAACTCTGTGTCATGCACGCGCCCACTGTTCAACGTTAACTTTGACTCGTTAAGAGCAATATCATACGGAGAAAATGATATTACCGCTTCAAGGTTAATCGTTAAGAAGGTGCTAAGAATATCTCTTTGGCTAACAACGTTGTCTAACTTAGCTACCTTTACTTTGATCGTCATTTTTCATTTTTTTCAAAAAAATAAATTCGAAAAAAAACTGTTTTTTATCGTTCCTTCTGCGTTTTTGCAAAAAAAAACAAAAAATGTTTTTTACCTTTCCTTTTGCGTTTTCGAAAAAAAAATTGTTTTTTACCGTTCCTTTTGCGTTTTCGGAAAAAAAAAAAAAAAACGCGTGTGGTAGATGCTACTCTTGAAGTTGCACTTTCCACCTTAGCGCAAGACGGAAAATTGCGCGCGATACTATTTTTGATTATGATGATTCGTTTACGTACTTTATAATCAAGCTAATGGCATTACTTGTTATGAGGTTCGTCATTAGAAGTTCGCATCTCTTAATAGGACGTCATCAATATGTTTATTCTTAAACGTGCCTATTTTCATGTTCATCATTTTTTTAGTTGTAATTGGTCAACCTTGATTTAAGAGTATAATTTATTTACCTCTTCTATGGTTTCAAAAGAAAATCCCGAGAACTTTACTTGGGATGATTGCTTCACACACAAAAAAAGAGAGGAATAGTTAAAAAAAAAAAGAGAGAAAATAATGAATGATAAAACCGAGAAATTGATTTAATTATTTCTTAGATTTTACATTCGTAGGCCATCATTCTTTTTAAGCAAATAGTAAAATATTATCCTTTAAAAATGAGCAATAGAATCATAATTAAAAAATATATATAGATCTCTATTGCAATCTAAGTGATCAACAAATACCATAGTATATTTGATCATTTTAAAGAGTATGTTCGGATTGATTGATATTTCTAAAATTTGATGAGAATTTTCAATCCAACTTTCTTGACTTTCTCTTCTACCTTTTTAGACAACAATTCATTTAAAGTAAAATCCTTTAGATGATTACTTTGTTGAAGTCAACACAAATCATGACATTCCATTAATGATTCACTAGCCGAAAATATGAATTGGCCATTTGGGGGACGGCAATAATCTTATTAAAAAGCCACCGGTTCAAAACCGGTGGCAAAAACAAATATTGCCACCAGTTAACCGGTGGCAATAATGCTTCCCGCAATTTTTTTTTAATGGTGTTAACAAGTATTGCCACCGGTTAACCGGTGGCAATAATGCCCATAAAAAACAAAAAAAAAAAAAAAAAAAATTTGCATTTATTTCACTTACATTGTAGTAGAAACTATACATATATAAAATACATAAAAACACATATATATTCATCAGTATCTAGTAATTGTACAATTTTTAAGAGTGAAAAAACTAAATTAATAACTACAACTAAATTAATCAAATTACACAAAACTAAAATTTGAACATTAAAATAAAAAAAAAATTACAATAAAAAACAAAAAAAAAATTACAACATTAAAATTAAAAAACAACCCATAGAACACCTAAATCAATAATCCTGCATCTTTATTCTTCGATTTAACATCTACTTCTAAATCAATATACCTGCATCAAACAAAAAAAAAAATCGATAAAATAAAATAATTAAGCTGCGAAAAAAAAACCAGAACAGTATGCATGGTACCCATAAATCGATTTAAATCGGTTAAATAAACCCAGAAAAAACACACAAAAATATAAACAAAACCCAGAAATTAAACAAAAACCCAGAAAAATAACCCAGAAAACTAAAAACCAGAAAAAAAAATTAAACAAAATTCCCAGAAATTAGTGAAAACCCGAGAATTAAAACGAACTCAGAAAAATCGAATTGATTTCCAAAACAAGAAAGAAAAACAAAATGAGAATTAAATCGAACTCTAAAAAACAAATTGATTTTCACGAACTCGAAAAAAAAGGAAAAAAAAAAACCCAGAATTAAATCGAATAAAACCCAGAAGGAGATCGACTTAGAATCGATTAAAATCAATTAAAAATCGAATCAAAACCGATGAAAACCCTCAAAAAATCCAAAATCGACTAATTAACCCAGGAAAATCAATAACTAGTAATGAAACAAAAACCCAGAAGAAAACCCAGAAAAAAAAAAATTAAACAAAAATAAAAACAAAATCCCAGAAATTAGATAAAAAACTGAGAAAAAAAGCCAAGAAATTGATTCACGAACTCAAAAAATAAAAACCCAGAATTAATTGATTAAAATCGATTAAGAAACTCAAACAATTCCAAAAACGATTAATTAAACCCAGAAAATCAATCAATTAAACCCAACAAAATCCGATTAATTAACCAAGAAAAATCGATTAATTAAACACAAACCTCGTGCATGTCTTCGTGGTTTATTGTTGCGGTGGTGGTCTTGGTGATGGTGGAAATGAAAGAGAAGGAGACGAGGAGATCGAAGGAGAAGGAGACGGGGAGATCGAAGGAGAAGAGGGAGAATGAGACGAAGGCGAAGAGCAAGAGAAGGTGAAGGAGGAGATCGAAGAAGGAGATTGAAGAAAAGGAGATGAGAAAAGAGAAGACGAATTGAAAGAGAAAGAATAGAGGGGAGAGCAGGAGAGAGAAAGAGAAGAGGGGAGAGCAGAAGAGATAAAGAGCGGCTGAAAGGGAAATGAGGTAGGGTTTGGCATTTATAAGGGGGGCGGTTTTTTTTAATTGATTATTGCCACGGGTTCAAACCTGTGGCCTTTACCATTTATGCCACCGGTTTGGTTTGAACCGGTGTCAATGTGAATTAGCCTATCCCGCCCATTTTTTAAGCCACCGGTTTTCAAAAACTGGTGGCCATAGAGCAGTGCCTTTTTGTATTTTTCTACTAGTGATTGTTCGTGAATTTTTTGACATTCTTTATCAACAAACTTGCTTAAAGTTAATTCGTATTACAAGGATTAAAAAAAAAGAAATAAAAAAATCATTTTAACTTTGATTCATTGTTTGAATGCTTGGTAGAAAAGGTTTGAGTGAACGCGGTCAATTTCTCGTGACACGCATTACTAGATCATCTTCCACATTCGCATACTAGTTCAATCATGGGTGACAAAGCAGCATTGGAGAAACTTAGAGAGGAACTCCAAAACATAAAGGCCTTACAAGAAGAAGAAGCCCAAATGAAGGCTCATAAAAAAGCAGAAAAGGCTAAAATAAAAGCAGAAAAAGAAAAAGAAAATATTATGTAAGAAAAAGCAAGAGCCGAAAGAGTAGAGGCCTTGGAGAAACTTGTCTTTCAAGCTAACTTAGGGAATAAGTACTTCAATTATGAGCTTGCACCACAACCTAGTGGCAAGACTCTCCTAGAAAAGTTCTTGATTATGGATTTGCCAACCTTTAAGGTTACAGACAATCCTAGAACTCACTTGATGAGCTTTATTGGAATTATGGCATTGAAAGGGGTTGAGCCAAGCCTATAAGCATGTACTTTTCCTCTTTCATTGGACCCAATTGCTAGATCATGGTTTTATAACCTCGATGCAAAACAAGCTTCTACTTAAAGTGACGTTGTAAAAGCGTTTTTAACCCAATATGGAGATAACATAGAACTCACAACTACCTTGCCCGATCTCGAATTGCTTAAGCAAGGGGAAGAAGAAGGCTTCATTGACTTCTTTTCCGGTGGCCATCAAAGGTTGCTCTTATTCCACAAAGACCTCCGGATCATGAACTTGTACCAAAGTTTGTAGACAAAATGTCTCCACCATACAAGAGCCATTTACAATACCTTGGTTTAGACACATTTCAAAAAGTCTATACTATGGGAACATTAATTGAAAGGGACTTGATAAATGAAACCATGAATCATATAGATGGACTTGATTTTTAGAGAGGACTTCACCTACGTCAAAAACGGAGAAAGCTCGAAGATGGAATCTCATAAAGTGGTCAACAATTCAAGATGTAGCACCCTAGGTCTTGTTTTGTTTCTTTCCTTTGTTTTTTTATGATAGACTAAGAGATTCATGTTGTCGAATCTACTTATTTTATACTCTCATTAATTAATGAATAAAAAGTATATTTTCAAGTACATCTATCTTGTTCTCTTTTCAATCTCTTTATTGTTATTGACTTGAATTAAATAAAACGCATACATATAAACAGGCAATATCAAAAGGCATACATACTCAACACTATAAGAATCTTGATGAGTTTTGGCTTACAAGATGTATTGAATGAAAAGAGGCTTGTCTTAGGCCCACAAAGAAAGGATATGATGATTTCACCAACATAGGAGACAACTTGAAACTCCATAAATATAATCCCATGTTCTTAACCATAGAGAAAATCCATCTTTTTGGAAGCCCTTTTGAACCTCGTCAATTGAGCTTTAGTTATTCAACCTACATTATTCCATACCTTGGGATGGGAATAGTGCAAAGATACAAATAGGAAATTGGGGGAACGAAACATAAGAGGGGGACACAAAGTTAGTCTAAACCCAAAAGGAAAGATCAAATCCAAAAGAAAAAAGAAAAAATCGTTCTAAACCCAAAACAAAACTTGTAAAAAAAAAAAAAAAAAAAAAAGGAGAGATGACAAGGAAAAGGCACCTAATGTAGGAGTTGTCACACAAAGCAAAAAGGTTCTAATTTGATAAGCACCAAATGTAAAGGATTTTGGGAGTATACATGGGCCTGTCCATTGTTCATAACCCCAATCCTAGCAACATTACGACCTTGGAAAGGCCCTCCTTGAGGTAGACCATAACCATATACCAAAATCATCATTCCATGAAAATATGGTCAATTCTTAGGCCTTTGCACATATGGACCTGCTATTAAGTAGTCATGCCCATATATAAAATACATGAAGTGTTGAGTAATGATTACAAGATCATATAAAAAAATTTCAAATGATTTGGATGATTTGATAGCCATTGGCTTGATTACATCATGTTAGTAAAACAAACGAATCAACCTAAATTCAATGTTTTCCATATCCTTTGCCAAAGAAAAATGAGATGACTATAACTTTTTTAAAAAAACACAATCATCTTATTTTCCTTTAATAATAGGGATATTTATTACCACAGTAATTCAGGTTCTATATACATTGCCTAGAAAGAAAAAGAGTGAATACAATAAATTGATTTGATATATCGACAGCATCGACGTCAACTTTAGATGCCTTTTACAACTATTGAGAATTGGTCTTTTCACTTGTCATAAATGTCCGCCTACGTGGGATTTCTCCATCTTCTCTAAGAGAGGAATATTGATTGAACATGATCGCTACATGAAAAAAAAAATGATCTTTATCGCTATCATACTTATACCTCACTGCCAAGCCATCACGATGATTAATAATATTAAGTCAATAATCCTTGCTTTTCGAAAACATGTCTAATTTCTTTCTTTATTCTTCTATGGAAAAAATTGGATTCCCCTTCCTTTTTATACAAATCTCTCTTTTTTTTCATTTATTTTTTATGGGGTAAGTCGGGATGATCCCTCCCATTTGGCAACTAAAATAGTATAACTTTTTCGCTCTTTGCATCAAACTGGGGGCTAAAACGCCAAGACATCCCCATCTTAATAGCTTTAAATGACTAAGGGAAGAATACCACTTCCGATTATTTGACCAAGATAATTAATTATGTTACTTGATCAAACAACTCATGATAGACAAATGCTTTATTCCGCAAATTGAAAATACAAACTTAGGGGCTTCAAATAAACATGAGAAATATCCCCTAGCATATGTATACATGAATTCCAAGAGCCACCTAAGTCTACACTTGGGGATTTCAAATTAAAAATATAGGTCTCACCTTACCTTTAATTTTGAAATGAGACCATATTTTGGAAAGTGATTCAAATGATTTTATAAATTATTTGAACACTCCATCAAACCTAAGTTTGGTAAATATTTATTTTCAAACTGCGGCACTTTTTAATTGGAAGAAATTCACTTTTAATTATCGAATTATGACAATGATGACAAACATTAAAAAGGGAAAGATGACAAAATTAGATATACAAATGTTTTCTCACATTTTCATACCTTTGTTGAAAAAAGTTGCGAATTACAACTTACCTTCATCAATCTTGGACAAAAAAGTCACACTCAATTACGAGCTAGACTTTTCTTTCCATTTTGGGTCCAGTTTTGAAAATAATATGATATTTGCCTACTAGAAAAAGTTGCTTTTCAAAATAAACTTTCATTGGACCCTTTTTCAAATTTTGAATTCTAATTCGAAACAACATGTTTCTAATAAAAATAGTATTCAAAACTTCCTTGCTTAACTTTTGTTTTCTCAAAAATAAATTTTTAGATTCTCAATAACCGATTGGATAATACATTTATATACATAAATATTTCCAAAAGGAATGATTTAAGATTCGACTTCTTCTTGACTCGAACTTGTTCTCGCTTATTGGCTAAGGGATGGTAAACGAACCACCTACAAGACTAAAATCAAATATTGACAAGAACAAAGAAAATATTTGATGTTCTAAATCAAATTTGAAGAATAAAATCACCGCAATGATCTTGACAAACGTTTAGACATTAGGTAAGATTACTAAAGCTTAAACACAATTGTTTTTGGGCTATAAACAAGCAAAAAACTAACTTGCTTTCTTGAAAATAACTTTAACTAAAATGTGAAAGCCATATCACTGTCCTAAATATTTCAAAAACAAAAATAGGATATATACACATGTCCATCTCAATATCATATTAATGGCCTAAACAATATCAAGTCATTAGAATTTATCCCCAATTGGGGGCTCCAAGACTTGCGAAATAGCAAGAATGCGCAATAACCCGACACATGAGGGCTCCAATATCAACAAAAAACAAAATGAGATATTCATGCCATTCGAGCTACTTTCGAGAATCGCCTAAACTACAAATGGTTTACATAGATATCGAGCCTTACAATTTTCAAATGTATCAAAATGATATAATAATCATGTTGTTCCTTTGAAAACTAAGTTTGCAACTGAACTTGGCCATTAAGCAGGTTACATACTCAAGCCATTTTCAAGTTCAACTTCAAAAACTAATCTTAGTGCATAATTGTTGTTTCAATACTTCAATTTACTCTAGAGATTAGAGAGTATGACTACTATAGAGCAAAAGAAACAAAATCATACTTTCTCATACGAAAGTTTTTTACTCAATTATTCATCATGAAAATTGTATCAAGACACATTATTTACATAAGACAAACAATTTCATGAGTTAGAATGTAAACAAAAGACTCCTAAATTCGAAATTAGGGAGTCTTCATTTAAAATTATTCTCCATTGTTGCATACATTGGAATTTCGCAAGGAGGATAACATCTACTTACTCGAGATTCAAAACAGTGACAAAATATGAACTTAAAAGAAAGAATTCAAAAGTAGCAAGAATAGACAAAAAATTTGAACAACATTTCATTTTTTCCCTTACTTGTTCTAATGAATGACAAATATTACTAGACTTAGCAAATTTCTTTGTTGAAACTATGAATGGTCAAAAACGGTTTAAAAACACTAGTTTAATCATTTCCAAGATCCTATTTGTTATCATAATAAGACGAAACACGAGATTTGTAGACCCATTTCAAGCGACATGAAAGGGTCTAATTATTGACAACAAGCAAATCATCGAAGCACCCAACACTGGGGGCTACAACATTCGAAAATGTAAAATGGGGGCTTACGAACCCGCTATATAATCAAGCTACA